CCCCAAAACCCCAAAACCCCAAAACCCCAAAACCCCTGGACTGGAGTATTTGTTGAAATTGAGTGAGAGTTTAATAAGATTTTATAAATGAGTTGAATTGATGAAAATGAGGATAGGTACGCGACCTGGGATTTTAGTAGATTATAATTGTTTTAGTAAGCATGACCCTGAGGTTCAGGAACAGAGTGAAGCTAAGGAGGAACAGGAGGTGGTTGTGGTAGCCAAGCCACAGAAAGCGGCAGGGATTGGAATATTTATGTGCACTTTAACCCTTTTGGGGACAAGGCTCGGTGGAGGAATTGTAGGGATTCCTGGTGCTAATAAGACGATTGGCTATGTCACTTTCCAATGAATGATGACTGTTTATGCATTTATGGGCATGTTCTCTATCTGGCTCTTACTCAGAGTGAGAGAAATCACTGGGAAAGCATCTTACCCCGACTTAGGCATATACTTGTACGGAAGATGGAGCATTTACTATGTTAACGCTCTTATAGGATTAGCACAACTAGGCTTTCCTATAATCTTCTTCATTGTATTCGGAGATGTCTCAAAGAGCTTGATTCTCCAAATAGACAGTGGTGCAGGAGATTTCTGGACTTCTAGGTGGTTCACCCACATCCTTCTAGCTTTGACTATGCTGTATCTAATTCTTCAAAAAGAAATTCAGAATTTGAAGTATGCTGGATTCGCTTTGTTAGGGATGATTACAGTGTTTATTGTGCTGCTGTTTCTTCATTATCTAATTTCAGACCCAGATCCTGATCCAAGCGAGGACTTAACTGATACTACATTGAATACAAAGTTCTTCTCGAGGATACCAACAATGATTGCTTCTTTCTCATTCCAGCCATCTTTATTCACTGCGTTCGCTTCACTAAAACACAAAACCACTGCAAACGGACTAAAGGCAGGCTGGATAGCAATTTGGGTTGCTTATATCACCTACACCATCACTCCTCTCCTCGGTTTCGGTCTCTTCGGCGCCCAGGTCGAATCTAATCTCCTCAAAAACCTCTCCGGAGACTCCAGAGCACTCCCAATAATCCTCCAAATTCTCTTCCTAATAATCGCGATCGTTCATATCCCAATAATTTTCTTCATCGGCAAGGAAGCTGTGTTAATTATTTTCGACGAAGCGACTAGAGGCAGTTACTCAAAACAGAGTGCTAGCAGAAAGGCTGAAACTAGTGATGAAACACCTAAATGATCTGTTCAGAGTGAAAACAAAGATAACCAATCGTCTAGTCCTGAAGAGGATCAAGAAGGAGGGAACGAAAATGCTCCTCCTAATCAAACTCATGAAAACTTAATTCATGAATCACATCCTGATGGTAATCTTGCTGAAATTCAGAAAGATGAAGTAAACTCTTCGAATCTTGGAGAGGACACAAAGCGAACGACCGGACAAGAAAAATCAGTTAAGATGGCGAACCCAAAGGAATATTTAAACATGCACCCTGGCTTCTACTATTTAGTTACTTCAATATGCTATATAGTAGTTGTAGTCCTGTCTATTGTGGTGGGGGACGTATCCGTCTTCTTCGGTATAATTGGAGCAACTGCAGGATGTTGGATCATCATAGCAGGGCCAGCTTCCTTCTATATCCTAGCTGTACACAAGCACAAGGTGCAGATGAACACCTGGTACTTAAAACTAAGCTATATCCTATCCTGGTTCTATTGTGCTCTTGGATTTTCCGGAATGGTTGGCTTAAACATTTGAGTCATTTTGAATGCATAGGAAATATTTAAATCGATAAAGATGATGCAATGATTACTTGTAATAAAGGGGTTTTGGGGTTTTGGGGTTTTGGGGTTTTGGGGTTTTGGGG